TAACTGCTCCGCTATATACTATGGGATATATAAAAAAATAAAAAGTTTCAAATGAATGAAGAAATTCACATTAAAAATGAAACATAGGGCCAAGTGACTGTACAATGGTAATGAAGCTTAATCAACACGGGAAAGGTACAGGCTTTGTGTTCTGAGGAGCTCCTTGAACACAATGGGAGCACACACATACAGGCTCATGATCTAGGCTGGCTGAGACTGGAGATGAATCATGGCGTGAAGACCCTGTTGGGCATGCCTGCTGGCCTGTCTCATGGAAGAAACAAACTAAGAAATGAAGCAAGATTATTTTCTTTGAGTCAAAGACCAACTTAAGCTGTATTTTGCATACCATGGCAAGGTACTCAGTATTTGCTGATTTGCACTAAAATATATGTGTAAATAACCTTATGCAAATATCTTCTGATCCTGGAACTACAAGAAAAACATTTAAGAGGTAAAATAATCTATTTGGGTTTACAACAATTGTCTACATTGTAAGTAGCTGAATTTACCAAGAATATATGGCTTATGAGATTTGAAAAGCTTACTAATAAATACTTAAAAGTCATACTTATGGATTACCTTTTGGGCATATTCATCACACGTTGGTCCCACTGGAATTACCATTACCTGGCGAGGAGACAGCCAGAAGGGCCTTTAGAAGAAAACAGAAATATTTAAAAAAAGGGGCACATTTCACAGTCTATTCTTCAGAGTCCTCTCCTGACACACGTAAAGGCTACTTTTAAAACTTGTAACTATAGTTTCTCTTACTAAACAGATGCAAAGCAAACCAACAAGGACTTTGATATGTCACTTAACAAAACATCAAGTACTAGCTATAAGAGGGGTTAACAAATCGCTGAAGAACTGCACATAATGACTAATTGTTTGGGATTATTTTATTATTTATTCTCCACGAGGGACACAGTGCCTTCTGTTTAGTCAAGATCCCTTTTGCAGAATTTAGCAAGCTGCAACTGATGATAATTAGTGATGGCACTTAATAAAAATGAGTTTTCACTACTTACTAAAAACAAATAAAAATCCACCTGTAATTCTCTCTTTGGAACATTTCAAGTGTCAAACCCTCTAGAAGCTGCAAACATCAGACCAATGTTTATCTCCATCTTTCTTCTATTTTCAGTCATTCTGTTTACATCAGCCAAAAGGCTGGAGCAGGTACTAAATTCTACCCTGTGGGCTTTTCTCCACTTACCGCGAGTTTAGCAGAGTAATTAGCTGAGGACTCCCCTGCTTGCCTAGATGCCCTGTTCAGAATGTTTCCCACTTGATTTGATTTTGTGACACAACAGAAAAGAATATCTCATTTCACTGACCAATATGATAAACTCCTCTTAATGTCTGAACCAACCAAATTCAAACTGAAATGACAGTAAAGTGTAAGATGAAACATCTTACGAAGGGTTTAAATCAATAAAACTAATACAGCAGGCTCTCCAAATGGATGCTTCATAACCCTGCACTGCTTTCAGCTGCATTGCTGGCCCAAATAAAACTGTTTACAAATAAAATGCAAGTCACGTGTTTGTATCTTTCCAAGAAAAACATATCCTTACATAAATGAACCACAAAACATTGATCTATTTAGTGTCTGTTTAACTTTTCCAAGGAAATAAATGCTTGGCTTCTAAAAGCTGTCAAAATATCTAGTTATTATGATCAGCAAAGCTGAATGAGGTAAGCAAAAAGACTACTTCTTTACTCAGGTAAAAACTGCAAAGCCATATAAACCCCAAAACAAAGTTAACTGAAAGGCAATCAAAACAAATATGCTTTACTAAATCATAATTCCTAATTAGAAAGCATTACATAACTTTCAAAGAAATTACTAAAAACAGGTATTTGTAACACTAAAAAATTTGCATTTAGATTATTCTTCAGATTATTTAGATGATTATTTTTAGTTAATGACTATCATTCATTGGAATCGAAATCATTTTCCCTTTCCACCTCATAACTAAATTAGAAAGTAGACATTTCCTCTAGCCAATTTACAATGATCAGACAAAAACAAAAGGAAACAATGACAAAAATTACCATTTGCCCCCATAGTTTTCAGTGAGGATAGCAATCATCCTTTCCACTGACCCCAAGATGGCTCGATGAATGATTACTGGCCTTTTCTTATCATCACCATCATGGCTGCAAAGAAAAGCAAATTGTTTTCCCTTATTATGTGTGTTTTCCCATATCTATTTGTGTGTGTGTGTGTGTGTGTGTGTGTGTGTGTGTTAACAAATGGTTCAGAGCAGACATCAGAAACTTACCTTACAAAAGTAAGATTAAATCGGATGGGCAACTGAAAATCCAGCTGGATCGTAGCACACTGATGGTACCGACCAATCGCATCTTTAATCTGTATGTCAATCTAGGAAGCAAGGATTGGGTTATTATCAAAATGCTGTGGATGTTAAGGCTGAGTTCAGTGGTTAGATCTGGGCTGGTTTTCTCCTTACTTTTTTTTTTCTTTTTTTCAATTTAATTTATGCACTCTCTTCTTCCCTCACAAGTGAAAACCACCTCACCAAATGTATTTCAGTACTGACCTTTGGGCCATAGAAAGCTCCATCTCCTGGGTTTAATTCCCACTTCTCACCAAATTCATTCAGACTGTTTTCAAGTTGCTAAGGATAAAGCAAAATGATTTACATTTTTATTAACAGCAACTTCCCTTCTTCCAGCCTCATTTGGGACTCAAAATACTAAATAATTACTCTCATGGGTCGTTATTTCTGCTTTACAATATTGTCCACTTAAATGTACCCTCATACAAACCCCTTTTAAAGTGAAAAACTTGTAAACTGGAAAAGCATTAAAGCATTCAATCATTTCTAAACCACAAATACATACCAGGAAAAAAACAGCCTACCCAAACCTAGGAACTCTTTTCAATTTTCTTTTGCTCTTAACCATTTAAAGAGGTCTGGGTTTCTTACGGCAGAAATAAGCCACTATCACGCTAACCATGTTTAAGGACACTGAAAAACACCACTTACTTTCTCAGCTTGATTCCACACTTCAATGTCTCCGAGGAATTTTTCTGGGCGAGTAGAAAGGTTCAGTTTAAAAGAAAATCCGAATACATTATATACTGCACGCAGAAAATCCAAGCAACCTTTTATTTCATCCTCAATCTTTAAATAAAAAAAAAAATAAAAAAAGGAAAAATAAAAAGGAGACGTTGGTTATTTTCCTTGACTTCCTTGATACTTCTTACCCAGTGTTTTATGCCACAGGGTCTCCTACCTGCTCCATGGCACAGAATATGTGAGCATCATCTTGCTGGAATCGGCGCACCCGGGTGAGACCTGTGAGTGCCCCCGACAGCTCATTCCTATGAAGTACCCCAAAATCGGCTACGCGCAGAGGCAGCTCCCGCCAGGATCTGGGCCGATGATCAAACATAAGGCTGAAAACAAAAAGTAAAATTCACTGATATCTAATTTCATAGGAGTAAAACTACTACATTATTATTATATTTAATTACAAAAAACCTGTCCTAAAAACTACTGATTCTACTTGTCAAATGTATACAAGCAACATTTCTGGAATTCGGAATTCTGAGCTTTATACAATGGAAACACTTGCATGAAATAAACAGGAAATAAACTGTAATACAACTGAGGCTAAGAAAAATAAAAAATGGAGATCGGCAGATGGCGTAATGGGTATGTCGCTGGGCTTTCACAAAGCTGAACGCAGTGCGAGTCTTGGACCTGACAGCTTAAAACATGCTGGGCACGTGTGCACGTGTGCCAAAATCCTGAAAGGAGAATGGAGAAGGGACTGTGGTGTAGTCATCCCCCCTAGGGGATGATTTCTTGATTTCTTTCTGTCTCTCCAGTGAGCACACTCACCCTATAGCAAAAATCTGTAAATAATAATAATGTATTTTTTAAAGTATTAACATAAGCCTGTACTCAAGTCTTTGTGCTCAATATTTGCATTAACTATTTTTGGAGAAATTATTGCTATAGGGCACATGTGCTCACCAGAGACAGACAAAAAATGAGAAATCATTTCCCCAGGGGAGGTGGTCATGGCGCAATTCCTTTTCCTCAATTATCCTTTCAGGATTTGGGGCATGCACACACATGTGATCAGCGTGAGTTGCCACCAGGTCCAGGACTGAAACCATGGTCAGCTACAGGGGAGCTCAATGACATAACCATTTTGATTTCCAGCCACATAACCATCTGTTGGTCCCAATATTTCCATTAACTTGAAGACTGCCTTTAAAGTCCATATTTTTTTAAAAAATTACTTAGTTACATATATCCTAACACCAGAAACTAAAGTTAGCTTTGTTCTATGGTCAGTTCCCAAGGTGCTTCTTCAGAAACTGAAAAACTGTGGAAACTAAGAGCGAGCTCAGTTCCCTCCTATAACCCAATTTTTTCATGGAAATTCACCTCTCATTCACCCAGACCCATAGGCCTAGTTACTAGGAGCTGTGGACACTGAGCCGCCTACACCCAGAGCTTTGCTACATCTTCCCCAAGTTGTTCTTTGCCCAATTTCTAAGGACAGAAAGTGGAGCAACCTTGTGGCAAGGAAGAGGTTCCAAGAATCTTAATTCATTAACAGTAGATTTTTAACAAAACACATTTAAAAATCTAGAAAATTTGCGACACCTCTCGCTGAATTTCCGATTTATATTCTGTCTTATTCACTGCTCTAACCCTATTGCCACTCTTGGGTGTCTACAGACCCGGGGGCCTAATCAGTAATGGAAGAATTATAATATCACACTAACGAGGCATTTAAGTACTCTTTGACTACATAATTTGTTTTTAACAACAACTCTTTTCATGGTGGGGAAGACAGTGAAGGACTAACTGTAGCACAAGAAAATCGTAATAGAAACTCAAAGCTGGTGAGTACCAATGTCCTGGGCAGTTCATGGGTTTAAGAGCAAACAGCTCCTTCTCCACCTCAAAGGAGAACATGTTCTCACTGTAGTGCTGCCAGTGGCCCGAGGTCATCCAGAGGCGGCTGTTGTAGATATTCGGGGTGACCACCTCCTGGAATCCTCTTTTTCTATACTCACTCTGTTAGAAAGCAAACAAAAGACACATGTAGGCAAATGAATGCTCACACTTTTGATGTGAGTACACATTTAAAGAAGTAGTAAAGTTGAAGATGCACATACACCATGACCCAGAAATTCCACTTGTTGGTATATGTACGAAGGCTCATGGAAAGGATGCTGTGCAGCAGTTAGTAATATGAGAAAAGCATAAATTATCTAAGTGTCCCTAAGTACAGGAATGAACATACTGTGGTAATTATATAAAGGAATCTGTAGTGAGTGAAAATAAATAAACTGCATAGGTATGAATTTAAAAAAAAATCACTTTGCACACCGATACACAATGAGATTTCATAAATTTGAAACACACAAACACATGAATAATTTAAGGGTAGATACAGATACAGTTGTAAATTAACATAGAAAAAAAGACCTATACCAACTTCAAACGGGTAGTGCCTTCTAAGACAGGAAGAAAATGGATCAGAAAGAGGTATAAAAGGGAGTTTTGTTTTTTTTTTAAACTGTATGTGTATATTTTTATATCTTAAAAACAATCAGAAGCAAATATAGCCCAATGTAAATATTTGTTAAATTTGTCTGGCCAGTGGTCATACTAAACTCTATAAACTTATCCTTGATACAATGCAAAATTTAAATAGAGAAAAAGCAATATAAAGACTAAATTATTTTTTAAAGAAAAATACAAATGAGTGGTCACAGGGCACAGAGTTGCTGTGTGAAAGGCTACACAGATCCCACCTTCAGACTCACCAGCTTCACCATGTGTATGTGCCCATGTATATGGATAAAATCACATATTAGGAAAAAAGACTTCTAAATCATCTAAGAACTCAGACTTCCACTTTCATTTCCATTTAATAGATTTATTCTCAAATACAAATGCTCTTTCCTTTCAGACCTTACTTAGTAAGTCATCTTATACCCTAAAGCTTCAGAAGAAGAAATAAAAATGGCTTACTCTGATGAATTCAATGAGAGTATTATAAATGTAGGCTCCCTTTGGCAGGAAGAAGCAACTTCCAGGGCTGAGTTCATGGAAGAAATACAGTTCTTGGTCCTGGGTAAAGAGAAGCAAAAGAATGTTAAGATATTCACAGAACATAAACAAAAACATCGGTGCTCCTGAGTTCAGAATATGGTCATGATGTCCTGTATGTCACTTAATGACAATCTTGAATCAAAGAAAGGTCAATGCTTTTGGTGTGCCATTTCTTTTAAAGTCTATGTATTTTCTTTTTTTTTTTTTAATTTATTTAATTTTATTTGTTATTTTTTAATTTGATGAGAGAAGGAGAGAGAGAGAGGGAGGGGGGAGGAGGAGAGAAAGAGAGAAAGTAAGAGAGCAAGCCACCAGGTCCTAGACTTGAACCATGGTCAGCTATGTGGGAGTCCAGCACCTCAACTGCCATGCCAGCCCTGGTGTACAATATAATTTATAGTTAAATTATAAATTAGCACTGTGTATTCCCTACTGCTATACTCCTCAATCCAGTCAAGTTTACCCAACATGGAGCAAAGGTATCTCAGTCCTCTTTTACCATACACAGTGACAGCTCTTAGGGATTTTAATTCCTCAAAGTTCCAAGATCTGAATGTTTTTCATTTTCTTTCTTTTTTTCAATAGTAAAGGCAGAAAAAAGAGACTATGGGAAAAAGATACCAATAATGAAATAGATGATACAGATGAAACTGGCTGACTCTGGGTTATGGTGAAACACATCACCTATCTACTTGCTCTAACCTGCTCACTAAACACCGCAAGCCTTCAGGAAACCAATCCACACCAAGTTTCTTACTGCTGGAATTCGTCAGGTAGACAGGGGTATATGGCAGTGGATGCTGCCTCCTACCCAAGCTTCATAACCTAAGAGCTACACAGTACATCCTATCTGTAGAGGAATACTTTTATGAAAACTAGCTTCCAGTTTAGTGGACATTTACGGGTAGAGAAATAGCAGGTAGCAGTATAATCTCCTGGTGAGTTGACGAATCATCCTGGACAAGTGGAATTGTTCTGGGAGGGACTCAGATTTCACATCTTTAAAATGAACCAGTGAGACTAGACTGTTTCCAAAGTCTAGGTCTTCCAGCTCAATGAAATGCTGCTATACTTCTCCAACAGAAAACTGTCTCGGTTATTTACATTTGTTCTCAGTGGAAGCAGAAGTTAAACGTGTATTTTTGAGTAGTACTGAGCATGATGCAGAAAGACAAGGTGGGTGAGTAAGCATCGACCATTTGCAAAGGACAGTCCCAGTGCTACTGGGAAACAGCACCTCTTCACATCCGAGTTCCTGGTACTTGATAATAGCTACATTTCAAATGTCAAAAGAAACAGAAGAAAATGCAGTCTAAACACACCACTGTTCTAGAACATACCCTCCCAATTTTCCTATGATCTCGGTTCTTGGCTTCTTCTTGGAACTGCTCCCATTCTTTCAACATTTTAGGATCTGGGAATGAGATGCCATAAATTCTCTGCAGAGTCTCCATGTCTGCTTTGCCTTCCCAGTAGGTAGAAGAGTTCTGGAAACAAAGATTATTTGTTATTTCTCAGAGTCACCTCATGAGTCAAATTCATATTAGTCCTTTTAATAAGAAAAATAGCATTAAAAGCACCCTTAGCAAATGTCTCCCAATTATTCTGAGGCCTAGCTAGAATAGTTAGGCAGCACAAAGTTGGCTATTTTTTCCTCTAAAAAATGCCCATCCCTCTATATTCATTTTAACCATAATTCCTCAAACATTACTCTGACTGTATGAGTATCTCTCACAAAATGACTAAGGAAAAATGAAAATGAACCAACAGCAACAAAAACTTCAAATAATGCAATCATACTCATAATTTAAAGCGTATTCTAGGCTCAGCTTGGTGTCCTGGTTGTTAAAGTAGATGGATCCCACATGGCCAACCCCATAGTTCGAGTCCTGGACCTAGCAACTTGAGAAATAGGCCAGGCACGTGAGTTTGTGCCCAAAATTCCGAATGGAGAAGAATCAGGGAAGTGACCATTCCCCATGCAGATGCTTTCTCCCTTTCCCTCTCGTCGTCTCTCTGGAGAGCACACATGCACTCTGACAAAATTTAAAAATTAAAATAAAGTGCATTCTGATCGACACCATAAATGTTCATGAACTACTAAAAAACCGGCAGGATTAGATTTGTTAAAAAGAGCAACTTAGGGGCCAGCCAGTGGCATGACAATTAAGGTGGCTGGATCCCACAATAACCATATGCACAGTTCAAGTCCTGGACTTGGAGGCTTGAAAAACATGCCAGGTGTGTGTGTGCACATCCAAAATCCTGAGGGAAGAGGAGAAGGGATTATGGCATGACCATCCCCCTATGGGTGGGTGTGCGCTTTGTCACTTCCCCTGTGGAGGGCAGGGGGCTTTCTCTCTGGTGAACATATGTACCCGCTAGCAAATTTTAAAACAAAAAATAACTTACATAATTATTAATTTAGACCTACAAAGAACAAAAGACCATATGCCTACAGTGAGTCTCAAAGCTTTTAGAACCAGGATATCTGATAACTGCATGATTCTGCGAATCCCCTGCAGCTCTGCTTTCTGTATTTGCTCAAGCTCGAGTGATGAATGGTGAGTCAGTCACACCTAAGAGAATCTGAGTTAAAAGGACTTATGACATATGACCCATGTAGTAGATGATGTTATATGAGAAAAAAAATCTTTGCATGGTAATAGTAGACAAGAAAATTCAAAGACAGTTTAAACACAGAAGCTATATTAAACAAATACATATAGAGTCTTTAAAATTACATGGCTTACTTTGTGTATTTTTAAAGTCTTAATTTTGCCGGTGTGTCTGACATGAGGACCCCGACAGAGATCTATCAAGGGGCCACATCTGAAGATAAAATGAAAAAAATGTTAACAAAAATAAAATGGCACACATATTGGACACATTTAATATCAAGTGATATTCTCACCTATAGACTGTGGTGGTTGGAGTATTCACTTTCTCATTCAAAATCCGGCATTTGAACTTGTTGTACTGAAAATAGAAAACATGGTTTTTAGAAACCTTCCTTTAATTCTTACCTCTAAATGTTAGCTACAACATAACTCAACACTTGCAGTACGGTATGACTATAAATATGTCAATATTTCATATTTTGGGGATATTGCTAAATTTTTCTAAAGACCAAAATAAGCTTCAATTTACCACATACTAACCCCAGCGGCACAACTTCAAGTAACATTAATGAATGACGTAAAAGTGGACAGCATTCATTAAAGTTCAATTCACCTTGAACATTTCCAGTAAAGTTTCTTTCTTCACTTCCAATCTTTCAAAAGCTTGTTTTTCTTTAATGATTTTCTTACATAAAGCCTCCAAAGAAGAGAAATCATTGCTGGACACACCCCTAAGGAAGAAAAAAGGTATCTCTCCATTCCATTCTAATTACAATATGGCTCACAGAAATTTGTCAAACTTTAAGGGTTTTGATACTAAAAATTAGACCCTTGCACTACATATTAAAATTTTAAACTACATATTTTCATAAGTTATTTTTATATTGTCAGTGGCTTCTTCTTAGTCATCATGGAGACCTTTCCCACAGTACTACGACCAGGTTTAAAGGAGAGAGGAGGACCAGTTTTATTACTCAATGTACCTTTGTGTTCCACCCCCACTGATCTAGAACACAGGTTTATTAAGGCCTCTATTACTTTAAATTGCAACACTTCAAGTTTTGATAATGAGAATATTTGATAACTATGAAATAAAGGACTTTATAATACTCTTCCTTTGATGAGACAGCTTTCAAGGTAACTTATGGACCCACTGTTCTAAGTTTTCAAATTTTTCATAAGATTTTTCAAATTTTTCATTAGTTTTTTCAGAATTTCCCTTTTTTTAACCCAGTCACATAACTTACCCTTCTTCAAGAAACATGTCATAGTAGAATCCATTTTCTATTGGTGGGCCATAACATAAACATCCACCATAGACTCTCTCCATAGCTTCACCCATTATGTGAGCACTGGAGTGCCAGTAGACCTGAAATCGTAAAGAAAGTCGGGGTAGTGGGAGTGTTGCCAACAAGCTGTGTGTCAATATGGTCATTTGAAAGAGACAGATAAAACTAATTATAAATAAAACCAGTTTGTTAAAATCTAAATTTATAAACACGTAAATTAGAATGTAATTCTATCCACAGCTGAAGTAATTTAAAAAACTACTTATTACCCAACTGTATTTATAGCTTAGAAATCAATGGATTTAGCTGCTTTCAAACTAATTAAATTCAACTTAGCATCGTTTACTAAACGGGATGGATTCCATTCTCTGAAAACAAAGACACTCGGGAACCAGCAGTTAGCGTGATGGCTATGTCGCTGAACTCCCACGTAGTCGACCGCGGTTCGTGTCCCGGACCCGGTGGCTTAAAACTCATGCCGGGCGCGTGTGCATGCGTGCCCAAGATCCCGAGAGGACAATGGAGGAGAAGGGATTGCGGCGTGACCATCCCCCCTGGGGGGTGATTTCTCGCTTTCTCTCTCTCTGTCTCTGTCTGTCTGTCTGGCGAGCGCACGCGCCCTACAGTGAAAAATCTCTCAAAAAAAAAAAAAAAAAGCAGAGCTCTCAGGAATGTGACAGGTGCCCTTATAAAAGACTTCAGAGAGACCTTTGCCCCACCATATGATGACGCAGCAAGAAGGTGCCTTGACATTGGACTTGCCCAGAATCCAAAACTGTGAGAAATAAATGTCTGTTGTTTATAAAAAAAAAAAACAAAAACAAAGACACTCATGATGTGACTGACACTGTAACTGGCCTATGTTATTTTCAGTCACTGTGCCCGCAGCCACATGCCTGAGATACTTGGATCTGGCCTTTAGTGGGCTATAGAATATCACTTAAGAATTACATCTGTTTTTAACTTAATGGCCCCAAAACAACTGAGGGTGGTACAACTAGATGCCACACCACAGTGAGAGGATACAAGGACAGACATATGAACACAAGTCCATGGCCATACTTGGTGCAATGTTTCCAGATCTATAATTAAGGTTCTGAAATAATACTTAAAAATTCTCATGAGAAATAAGGAAAGCACCTTCCCATCAAATCTAGGTTTACTTTTATATAGTCCTATCCAGCCAATCTGCACTTTAAGATATGATATGGAAATGAATAAGAGCAATGCTTTTTTAAAATGTTCAAATTTATTTGCTACAAGTATGCATCTTGCTAAAGTGTGGACAGTGTAGAAAACAAGTTTTACTTCTTTAATCAATCTTTAGTAAAGTTCCCAGAACACATATCCTGTTCTCTACAGAACACTGAGTCTATTAGAGAAAATAAATTCACTCAACTTCGCCTCTTAATTTTCTAAGGCAAACCATTTTATGTTTCCTGAATGAAGAACAACATGGAGATTTCAAGTATCAGAATGAGACCACTGACAAATGTCAATCGCCCAGTAGCTACACTAGAGAGCTAGAAAAGACTGTAAATATAAACCTTCATCCTAAAATTCAATGAATACTGAGAAAAGACTTACTGCTTGAGCTTCCTCATCCTCAAACTTGAGAAGCTCCAAGGTACAATCTTCCTCCAGAGGACGGTCTAGGTCCCAAACAACTTTATTTACTTTAGCAATCACTGTGTTGTCTGCCAGGCCTTGACTTTAAAAAATACACACACACATATATCAATATTAAAATCTAAAACATAATCTCTTGTAGCATAACACTTTAAGAACAGGAAAACAAACACTACATTTATTATATATTAATACTAAATGCTCTTTTTTATAAAGATGTATCTTGATCTTCTGAAATAAGATGGAAAAGCAATGAACCCCAAAAATATACCCAAGAATATAACATGAAGATCTTGAAAATGCAGAACACTATTATTTGACATCTAATGCTTTTTATTTAAGCAGACATGACAACGCTGAAAAGTAAGCAAAATATCCAGTGGTTTAAGTAAATCTTTTCATTTATCCACAATAACTATTCTACAAAGTCGAGCTATTCAGATTCTAAAGGAAAAACAGAGGGCTACTAAATAACTTCCTCGACCTACTTAAAATGCATACCACATCCTTTTTTTTGAGAACCAAATTTATATGACTTATCTCATATAAGGATTAGGAGAGGGACCAGCAGTTAGCATAATGGCTATGTCATTGGACTCCCACATAGTTGACCGTGGTTCGAGTCCTGGACCTGGTGGCTTAAACTCATGCCAGGCATGTGTGCATGCGTGCCCAAGATCCCGAGAGGAGAATGGAGGAGAAGGGATTGCGGCGTGGCCATCCCCCCTGGGGGGTGATTTCTCGCTTTCTGTCTCTCTGTCTGTCTGGTGAGCGCACGCGCCCTATAGCAAAA